GTTTAGGGTTTAGGGTTTAGGGTTCAGGGTTTAGGGTTTAGGGTTTAGGGTTTAGAGGGTTTAGAGGGTTTTGAGGGTTTTAAGGGCTTAGGGCTTCGGGCCCCTAAACCCTAAACCCTAAAACCATTGGGTTGCAAGGTTTAGGTTCCGTAGCACTTGCCAGGTTTTCGCCCACAGCCGAGCGAAACACGTCAGCCAGGCGCTCGGGCCTCAGTGGGGTCTTGGGTTTAAGGCATGAGGGTTTAGGGTTTAGGGTTTAGGGTTTAGGGTTTAGGGTTTAGGGTTTAGGGTTTAGGGTTTAGGGTTTAGGGTTTAGGGTTTAGGGTTTAGGGCATTTTGGGTTTTAGGGTTTAGGGCATTTTGGGTTTTAGGGTTTTAGGGCTTAGGGCTTAGGGCTGAGGGTTCGGGGTTGGGGTTACATGAATGCTTAATTAGGGTCTAGGGCATGGGATTCCGGGTTTAGGGCTCGGTTTTGGGGTTTCTCGGGTTTAGGGTTTAAAGGGTTGAGGGTTCAAAATGTATTCGGCATTACCGGGGGTCTAGGGCTTAGATTTTGACGTTGAGGGTTCAGGGCTTCAGGTTTAGGGTTTTGGGGTGGCGTTTGGGGTTGAGAGTTTAGGGTTTGGGGCTGAAGAGCAGACAAGAGTTTAGGATTAAGGCTTTTTGGGGCTTCGATTTTAGTGCTTGGGGTTCAGTCGGGTTTGAGGATTTGGTTTTGGGGCAAGCGGTTGAGGGTTGCGGGCTGAGGGCTGTTTAGGAATGAGGGTTTGGGGGTTTTGGGGCTTCAGGGTTGGGAATTCGGGACTTGGGCGATTTTGGGGTTGAGGGTCGGGTTTGGGCATCACAGGGTGCTCCTAAAGAGCCACGATACTTATACGCAACTACTTCGTAGCTACCGCCCATCAACCCCCCGGGGCAAGTTCAAATCCTGAACCTCTAAACAGGGTTGGGGTTTAGGGTTTAGGGTTTAGGGTTTAGGGCTTAGGGCTTAGGGCTTGGGGCTTAGGGCTTAGGGCTTAGGGCTTAGGGCTTGGGGCTTAGGGCTTAGGGCTTAGGGCTTAGGGTTTAGGGTTTAGGGTTTAGGGTTTCGGGTTTAGGGTTTAGGGTTTAGGGTTTAGGGTTTAGGGTTTAGGGTTTAGGAAACCCCTCGCAGCCCTGGGCGGAGGGGCTCATTCACCCAGCCAGGAGCCGGCCGCTGCGACATCACCGGCGCCTGAGGCGTTTGGCCCTAAACCTACTCACCCTAAGCCCTTCAAACGGTCCTAAGCCGAAATCTGCAAAATATGAAAATAAGAAGAAGAAGAAGAAGAAAACATGAATAAACAAAAATAAGGGCTCAGAACTAAACCCTAAACTGCCCCAAACCCAAGCCCTAAGCAGCGCTTGAGGATGGACTCTGGCGCCTCAAGCCGACGCCCAAACCCCTAAACCCCTAAACCCCTAAACGCTAAAGCCGAAACCCTAAACCCTAAACCCTAAACCCTAAACCCTAAACCCTAAACCCCGACGTGCCCGCCTTGGCAGCGTTCAAGGCCAGGAGCATGGCGGCGCTCTCGGGGCCTGGGGGTTTATGGGTTTAGGGTTTATGGATTTAGGGTTTGGGGTTTAGGGTTTAGGGTTTAGGGTTTCTAGGGGTCTAGGGGTTTAGGGGTTTTTAGGGGCTTTTAGCGCTTTTTAGGGGTTTTTAGGGGTCTCTAGGGGGTTTTTAGAATTTTTTTGTGGTTTTTAGGGGTTTTTGGGGGTTTAGGGGGTTTAGGGTTTAGGGTTTAGGCTTGGGGGGCTTAGGGGGTTTGGAGGGGTTAGGGGTTTGTAGTCACCAGCTAGGCTTAAAAATAGTGTTGGGTAGCTTTGTAAGGACTCCACAAACACGTTTAAAAACCTACTGGGAAGAAGTCTAGGAGAGCAGAGGGTCTTTTGTTTTAAAGGTTGGGGTTTAAAGGAGCATAGGAGCTCCAAGCTTTCCAGGCTTCTCAAGCCCTGCGATTCCCTCCAGGGCCGCGGGCACTCGGCCGGGTCGAGCGCAAGTTGGGGCGGAAGTCCGGCCCGACCTAGGGTGGACAGGGAGGCACGAATTGGCCCATTTGGGTCGAACCCTGTATGTGGGCATTTCCAAACATCGGGGTACCCCGTTTATACCCCAAATAGAGTAGAATCCCCTTGAAGGGACCCCCAAACAGGGACCCTAAACCCTAAACCCTAAACCCTAAACCCTAAACCCTAAACCCTAAACCCGAAACCCGAAACCCTAAACCCTAAACCCTAAACCCTAAACCCTAAACCCTAAACCCTAACCCTAAACCCTAAACCCTAACCCTAAACCCTAAACCCTAAACCCTAAACCCTAAACCCTAAACCCTAAACCCTAAACGGTTTAGGGGGGTTGACGCTTTTGGGCGCCGCTGCCCAAGGCGCTGCAGGCATCATCGACAAAGTCGGCCAAGCGAAGCAAGGCCGCCTCTGCTGGGGCCACGCCCAGCATGGCCTGTTTAGGGTTTAGGGT